TAGAGGGCAGTATCCCCCGTAAAGCAACAAATTGTGAAGTCAGGATGGATGGAGAATGGGGAGGAGAGAGCTGGACCCAAGTGCTCGAGTCCAGGGAATGACAACGAGGCTTTCTGGATGGAGTTCTCTTCATTACAGCTTTGTATAGATGACTTGATAGAATGGATGAATATCATTGTTTTAGTGTTACAGAAGTGAGACAGTGCTGTGCTGTATAATAAGATATGCACAATAATTGAGCAGGGCCAACTGACGGGTGACTTGCAGAAAACAAAGCTGGAAGGCATCAGAAGACATCCAGTCTTATGCTTCCCAGTCATCAGTTCATAGTGTAGCTTGTGGTCTGTGCAAGACTTGCAGACTTTGTTTTTAATTTTACAGGGGTTCTGATTGTTCTGTCAAGTAAATAAAGGGGAAAAAGTAAAGCAATAAATGAATGTTCAGAGTTTAGCCTAATTTTTAAGTGAATCACATCATAAAGGATTTCACTTTCATTGTATGCAGTCATCTATGGATATTTTTTTCCCTCAAAAGAGTCTGTTCATCTCTCACTTGAAAAGAAAAAAAAATTGAGAAATTCGCTACTATTCATCTCTCTGATTCCACTCTTGCTATGTAAGCCATTTCTACAAAAGTCTAGCTAATCTGTTCTTAAAAACCTGCACCAAGGGAAACTCCACAACTTTTTTGTTCAGTTATTTGCAGCCCATATCCTTGTCATTCCTGTGCTTCTGTGGGGCTGGAGAATTCCTGTAGCTACCGCAGACAGAATCTGAGCACTCCAATCTTTAATCTATGTATTTTATTTCCCACTACCACCTTCCCCCTCTCTGCTCTATCCCAACTTCTGTGAAATTTTGTGATCAAGAATTGTCACAGATGAAGGTCTAGATTATTAAAGGCACTGCAATACTTAAAAAGTTGGGTTCCTAAGTCCACCAGTGAAGTGCTTTTGATAAGCTGGTTGCCTGCATTTCTGCATGTGGAAAGCTACACAAGGGGTAGTGAACTGCTTGGGGTCCTAGTCCAAGCAGAAGGCACTGAGGCCTCAGAACAGGCCTCCACATACTGAGTTTTCTTGACTGGTGAGGTCTGGTTGTGCTCCTGCATGTTCAGTGCATGGAAAAGGTAGATGTGGAAGGTATTTTTCCTTGGATGTGGAGAGTGCGTGGCTAATGTGGCAGCAAATGGATTTGCATCATTCTGCTTTAGTTGGAGCAGAGATTCGAATCTGACTCCCGTAGTCCAGATGAGTGTCCTAACCAGTGAGCTAAGATCAGCTTCTCCCTCAGAAATAGAAATAACGCCTGAGGACTCCAGCTCCTCAAAGCTGGGCAAGGCTGAAGGCTACCTTACGAGGAGTCGCAGGGCATGTTTCAGATCCCTGCAGCATGCTGTGGAGCATGCTGTGTAAGGGAGTGGCTCTTTACTAAGCGAGGGGTATTCTGCATGCAGGGTGCATGAAGGGTGGTTTGTCTGTGTTGCAGACAGAAGTTGAGCTAATCTGTTTACGGTACCTAACTCTAGTATTTCAGCTACAGACCCTTTGCTAATCTTGAAAGAGAGACATGCCTAGCTAGAGAGAGCGTCTAAATGCTGTCTGTTTTTCCTCTCTAGCTGTTGATGTTCCTGACTAGCATAGGCAAGCGCCACTCAGCGATCCCTTCCTTGGTTAATGTATTTCTTAAGTCCTTGAACATTTCTTAAATATGTGAACTAAAATATTGCAACAGTTAACAAGAGCAATGCCTGGTATCATTGAGAAATGAGGTACAAGGGATTTGTCTAAGACCCCTAGCAGAGTGGGAAATCAGGCTGGACTAGAACTTCTGGATCATTCTTCGTTTCAAAATTGCTTTTGCCTCACTCCTTTCTCATGGTGTTGCCCGTCACTGAATTCCGTTTGGCCTAATTGTCAGTGCTGTTGGATTTGGGGCAAAAATGTCCTTACATAAGCCTCAAAAGGAGAGGGTTCCCAGCAGCTTTTGTTGCTGTTTTTGTAATTTGATAGCTAAAAGGTGCAATTGAAAGTATGTAGTACTGAGATCTGAAATCCAGATCTCTAAACAAATGAAAGACACATGAAGCTGCTACAGAATCTAAGTTAGAAAAGTAGGGCCATCTAGTGGCCCAGTGAAATGGTCTTTCTGTTTCTTCCTTAACCTATCTGTGTGAAATGAATAACTTGCAGTTTAAACAGCCCTAGTGAATTCCAGTAGACTGGGAGAAGCGCTGTGATTTTGCAGACTGGCTTTTTCTGTCCTTAGTTAATTCTTCTGCTCTCTTATTCAGTGTTTAATATTCAGCTGGATTTAAAGCATCTATTGGAGCAGCACCTTTATCTCAAAAGATCAGGTTGCAAGAAGAGCGTGGTGAAATAATACTATTTCTAGTACAGAATCTAGCAGCTTGGCTGTAAGAGGAGAGGAGTTAAAGTTTATTTTCTCCAAATTAAAATATATGAGGATTTTTTTCAAGCACTGGGATAAACTATTGATATTGATTGCCTACCTACTTAAAAAGCGCGCAGTGAGAATGCTGAGTAAACGTTGGCCTACATATAGCACAGATATACTTGTGCTGCTAATTAGGCGAGTGGTTTAGGTGACAAGTGATCGCGTGGCAGCAGTGCGGCCCCAGCGCACGCTGGCTGCGTGTCTGCCCAGGTGCTTGTGTGAGTTTGCAATCTCTCAATTCTGGGTTCAGCTCAGGTATGTCTTCATTGTCATTTCAGTAGGTCTGGGCTACAGTAGTTACTTCGGTGTAATCAGACCCAGGACCTTTGCTTTATTTTTCACGTAGGAAGCAGTGCAGTGCTCCTATTTCCATGCTGATAGAGATCTGAGGGGAACAATGCAGGCTTTCGAATTACTGTCAGTGTTTCCCTCAGTACCCACAGGTTTTTACAATCTTTCCATCCAGATTCAGATTAGATTTCAGAAGCTTAGTGATATCAGACTTTGAAACACTGACCCACGCATCAGCTCTGTGCAGTCTGCTTGTCAGTGAGTGAGTATATATATATATGTACACATACACACACCCATACATACATAGTGTATATGCCTATGAAATGATGAATATAGACTGGCTGGCTGGTTTGCAAACTGCCACAGCGGCTGATGTTACTAACAACACTAGCTGACCATTTTACCAGCTACCAAACATGTAATGGAAAAGGCTCTCTTTCCCAGTTCAGGTGAAGGCCGGGTAGCCAGGCTGGGCAGCACTAGTTTTACATTATTGCTTCCTGCATTATTATTGCTCTTAGTGGACTTTAATCTCTCAGCTCATCAGACCTGCCTCTTTCAGCAGCTCTGAAAGTTACATACAAAACTGGCACTTTTTTTCTCAAGGGAATATTTTTATTTATTTATTAAGTGAACATCAGGCCATGACTATGACTTTCCTTTCTGTTCTTTCTCTTGTGTATTCTGTCTTTTGGGGATGGGAAGGACCCTAAGGTGGTATCCCTATTTAAACGAGGCCTGTTTTCATTTTAAATGTGTTGTTTAGGAAAAGAGGGGAACAAAAGATTCTGCTCTTGCCTACAAATCTGCAGCAACAGCGTCTGGAAAACTGGCAGCTTTTTGCCTGGCTCAGTCCAGTTTGATTTCCTCAGATCTCTCTAGTTAGCTAAGATACTTCTGCACAGCTGAAGCCACTGCAGGATAGACACAATCTAAATATTAATTCCTGGTATGGCAGAGTGCTATGAACCATTAACTTAAGCCATTGAGCTCTCTTTCTCCTCGCAGCCTGAGAGCTCCTAAAGCTTCAAGCTGAGCAGTTCCTAACACAGATAGGAGATGCACAGCTAAATACTTTCAAGGATCTGGGTCATTCAAGTTACAGGTAAATAACTTCCCTTGCCATTGGCTTCTCCCTTCTAGTGTCAATAGTTGACTTTGTTCATAGAAGTCAGAAATGAAGAAGCCCTGGAAAATATTGGGGAAGGTGGAGAAGCAGCTGCTGCTAATTCCTCATGTGCAATTTAGGCCATGTCTATGCTAGACTAATTTTTTATGAAGCAGGCATGGGCAGTACCACAGCACTAACACCCTGAGCGGGGTTAGGTGGTGCCAGTGCTACAAACCAGTCCGGTGCTAGCATACTCACCTGCTGCGCCCTGCATGCAGCTGCCGACAGAGCAGCAAGGAGGGTCGCGGAGGAGAGGAATGCCTGTGTGCCTCCCCCCTTAAATTACAGAATCACAGAATGGCTGAGGTTGGAAGGGACCTCTGGAGATCATCTAGTCCAACCTCCCTGCTCAAGCAGGGTCACCTAGAGCATATTGCCCAGGATCACATCCAGACGGGTTTTGAATATCTCCAGGGAAGGAGACTCCACTACCTCTCTGGGCAACCTGTTCCAGTGCTCTGTCACCCTCACAGTGAAGAAGTTTTTCCTCAGGTTTAGGTGGAACTTCCTGTGGTTCAGTTTGTGCCCATTGCCTCTTGTCCTGTTGCTGGGCACCACAGAGAAGAGACTGGCCTCATCCTCTTGACACTCCCCCTTCAGATACTTGTACACGTTGATGAGATCCCCTCTCAATCTTCTCTTCTCCAGGCTGAACAGGCCCAGCTCTCGCAGCCTTTCTTCGTAGGAGAGATACCTTTCCTCAGTGCCCTCCAACACTACAGCTTGTTGTGGATTGAGCTGCAGTGGACACCTAAAGAGTATATTTACTGTAACTGGCCTTATGTTAAAACTTATTTTAACATATTCTTAAGCAGCAAAAAATGATCCCTTTCAAATGAATGCATTACTGGAAGCAGCAGGGTGAACTGTTGTCATAGCTTGGCTGCAGCCAGTGGTGGAGTTCTGGCTGCTCACCCGTTTCTCCCTGTAACAATATAGTTTGTTTTTTGCCTTTCTTACTGATGCAAGCTTCCAAAAGTGTTTCATAACCTTCAGTGACTGGTGCTTCTGCTTTGCGTTTTGTTACTCTCACTTACACTCTAAAGTCTTGGTGAAAGGATTTTACATGGTCTAAAAGGCTGCTGAATTTCTGAACTGAGACCCTATACTTTCAGAAACTAAGAGACAGACAGAAAGACAGGTAAGGAACAGCTTTATCAGCTACTTCTGCGATAGATCACAGGAGGTGGTTAACAGTACATAGCAATGCTGCACAGCAGTTGAAGACAGCAGGCAAAAAATAATACTGCCTGATTAAACCTTCTAGGGGAGCGAATTGCAGTGAGGCCAGGACACAGGCTCAAACCCCTACTTCTTAATGTTATCAGTGTCAGAATTGAAATGGTGCTTCATGATATCGTGCTGAAGACTGCGCCTCAGGCTTGAATTTTAAACAACAAAACTCATTTTTTTTCCTCTGAATATTTTGCCAAGCAGCTCTTAATGCTTCCTGTGATGCCACTCTGTTGCTGCATGCCTTTGGCAGTGAGTGCTCCATAAATATTGCGTTCTTCTTCCGCGCCTTTCACCCCAAGCGCTCTGTGGTGTTCCTCTGCACACTCAGATGTTTTCAGTGTCTTACTCCAAAAGGACTCATGTTTCAGAAGTGGATGAAATGCTTTTTTGTGTGCATGGTCTTTAAAAAGTAAAGTGGGATGGTGCTAGCTGAACAGCCTTTCCCTAGACAGCTAGAGGGGCAGTGCAACATCAGAAATTTCATACAGACACTAGCTAATGGCATCTCTTGAGAGAAATTTTTGAGAGGAAGGGATGGCTCCTTAGGTTCTCACTGAATGTTTCTTTTGGGGCTGATTTTTCAAAAGTAGAGAGCAAAAGGAGACCTTTTCTCTCCAGAGAGCTTGTTTCCCCTTGCTTGCGCCAGTTGAACATTGCTGATTTCAGTGAACCTGCCCAAGAGAGCTCCTGCTCTACCCTCACCCCCTCTTTAAATAAGAAGACAATCAGGACACTGAAGAAAGTCTCTTTGCTGTACCCATCACTTTTCATCTCGCTTCTCTAGTAGGTAGCAGCACTGTTGCCTTAAAGCAAGCTGGGAGCTATTTCCTTACGGAGGGAGAAGCAGAGCTGCTTTCAAAACCTTTGGCAGGAAGAACTGAAGTGCATCTGAATGTTTCTGAGGGATAATGAGAAGGGAAACCCAGTGTGGCTGCAAGCTGAATCCTACCTGTTTCGTATGGCCAGCCTAGCAGTTTGGCACAATGCTTTATCTATGCCTTTTTGATCATTTCTGCTTCCTTTTTATCTTCCAGAGAGACGGTACTCCAGATCCCGTCCTAAGACTGGTATACTGAATTATTCATCGCAAATGGTGACGAGTCGGCAGCCCAGCGAGATGGCCCTAACACCGCTCACAGAGCAGGAGGGTGAGGCTTATCTGGAAAAATGTGGCAGCATTCGTCGCCACACTGTTGCCAATGCTCACTCAGATATTCAGCTCCTGGCAATGGCCTCCATGATGCACACAGGAATGGTCATTGAAGAGTCAGACAGCAACGACAAATGCCTCCTGCTGCAGTCCAGTTTCAGCCACAGGCAGTGCTCTAGTGAGCCCAGTATTGCTGATGGGCCGGAGGGAGTCATGGCAGCAGGTAGACAGGACTCTGCAGAGCTGAACTGCACATCAGTCAGCTAGAAGAAATCTTGTCGAGGAGAAAAGAACAGTATGCACTAACTTGGACAAGCTATCATGTCATCCCCACTGGGAAAAGAGGAGAATATGATCTTTGCTCATGTCATTGAAATGGTTGGGTGGGGTGTCTTATGTCTCTTTGGAAATGTTCTCTAGATTTATTTTTCGTGACTGTTTAGGATCATTGTTGATGGAGGTACTTGGTTGCTTTTGTCCCTCTTTCTCAATTCTGTACTGCTTTTTTGCTCTGTGCCTCCATAGCAAAGAGCGCTGTGCTAAACCTTCTCTTTGCTTCTGGCACTGGGATGGTGATGGCTGAGGACTATATTTTTCCTTTTGAAAAAGGGAACTCAGGGATGAAACCACTTGCATCTTTCAGAAAAATCTGCACGGATACCTTATGAGAGAAGATGCTTTTCTTTGCCTGCCATGAGCATGGATAAAAAGTCCAAGACTCAACAAGCCTGAACAGAACTGGATATATGTGGAAGCCGAGTTGAGTACTTCATATGTACTTTATTTGGTTTCAGTCGTATCTTTAGGGGTGGTAAATTGGGTGCAAAGGTGGGGGGTAAATTGGGGGCAAAATATAGTCCTGAGCATCTTGGCATTTGTCATCAGTTTGCTCCTAAAAGGTCAACGTTGGTAGGGCTGCACTGAAAGGAGAAATCTAAATGGATTCCTTCAGAAAGAAAACGCTTAACAGAATCTGCACTTTTGTTGTGTGGATGGCATGAAGTTGCTTTTCAAGAAGGGACCATCATGATTCCAGAGCACGAGCTGATATAAAGGATTTCATCCGTGGGCCTTTCTGGCACTTCTAGCACTTGGCGGATTTTGTGAGACCAAAGACAACCAGCTGGATGTAGAAAGGTATCCTGCCTCTGTAGCATATTCGTGAAGTGCTTCTGACCTCCAGTGGTGTTTGATTCAGTGCAGTATTTCTTTTAAGATAAAGCAAAGGCTATTTGCAGTCTTTGTTTTTGTTTTAATTTTGAAGATCAGTAATGGGTCCAGTTCTCAAGAAATGCAAACGTGCCTGTGTGTCAGGCACTGCAGTCCACAATGTCTGCTTTACAGCATCACTTGGTACTCAAACGCTGCTTCTGTGGGAACACAACCAATCTATTTGAGCAGTCCGCTGGGATACCCTGCTGATGTCTTGCTAAGTAGATTTGCGAGTGTAATTACAGGCTTAGAGGTGAACTGAAATGCTGCCTTAAATGTCAAATCCCATTAAAAATATGGATATAACACCACTGCCACTAGCATCCAGTCCCTGTGGTACTGACTATAAATAAATCTACCTTGACAAGGAAAACAGAAGGCTAGATGAGCCTTCAGGACGTTTTTTTCAGTACCATGACATTAACTACAGAATCTGCCCTGTTTCTGTTGGGCATTAAGCATCATCTGCTCCACCATCTGCAGTGGAAGTGCACCTCAGACCTGTCAGGATCTGTCCGTAGCAGCATGTGCAGCAAAAAGAAAGCAGATTATTATCTCTTGTGGTTTGCAATTGTTCAAAGAGATATTTGAAAAGGGCCTGCTTTTTCTTGCTGTTACCTAAGGCACCTTAGCTGTTGACCTTTGTGGAAATGCCGAGTATTTTGATCACCAGCCGCACTTACAGCTTGAGGAACAGAGATGTAGTTGTGCTGTGTGCCTCCTAAAGGGAGCATGCACAGCCTGGTAGAGGCCAGAAGGAGGTGGCTTTAAGCAGTCTTTCCTTCAGATGGACTCTAGACTAAATTGCCTTCCTACTCATAAATTGGCCTGGTCAGGCCAAATTATTACCTGATGTCATCTGTCCAGGATGGCCGTGGCTTGTGGTGGGGCTCCACAGTCTCTGCAATGACAGCAAAACTCAGTAGTCTGCACTGGTGTTACCTTGGCATGCTCCTTCCACCGTGGGGCGGATGAGGTCATCCTGCTCCAAGGGAATTTCTTTGGCCGCTTGCAGTGATTTAATGCCTTCCCTTTACCATAGTATGGCGTGTGGGGAAGTGGTCGCCCTGCAGCATTTCAGTTCACTCTCACAGATGCTTTTCTTCTCTCTGTTTCTCCTCTACCCCCATTTCCCTTTTGTAATTATTCAAGCCCCCTGGATTAGTGAGTGGAGTCCTCTTTTATGAAGAAAATGAGAACGATTTATTTATTTCCTGGCATACTCTTGGATCATCATCTCTGGGGCTAATAGGAATCTAGTCCTGGTTTTAACTTGAATTTCTTTTGTTTTACATGTATGTATAATTTGACTTTGTATTGGTTACTTTGCAAAAATTTGCACCAAGCCACTCTGAATCGTGCACTTCGCGTGTTGTTTTGTTTTTAGGGAGATTTAAAGCTGGTGGCTTTACTTTGTGAACTGAAGTAAAAAAAATTGTTCTATAAACAAAAGTGAGGGTCTGGTAATGAGCACCACTTTTACAAACATTTAGGATGCACAACGCTCTGCAAGCACATACCCTTTACAAGCTGCACAGGTAAACCTGGAAGTGTCTGGGAAGCTGGCACGGAGGAGCGGCGCACCGGCACTGAAGCAGAGTCAGGACCGCGGGGCAGCACCGCGTCACTGGCACTCAGTGGAGGATCATCTCTGCCTGCTGATGGTAGGTCCCTGGAAGCAACTGGCAGAGACTCTGCCCCCAGGTAAAAGCTATGATATGAGAAAATTTGCATTTTACATACAAGATTTTGGTTTGAGACTGGTGTTACACTTCCTCTCAGCTCACCATTTCACACAACTGTGACAGAGGCACAGGGTGGGTCTTTTCCACCCTCAGTGGTCTGCTGCTTGAGAAAGCCTTCTGGGTAAGCTGTCAGTAGAGCAAGAAAAGATTTCTCTCACCACCTCCAAAGTCTGCATGTTACCTTCTGAATGGATTATTATCCAGATTAAGTCACTTCTCATCTCATCAAATTTGTCTTCCTTCTGCCAGTTTTAGTACTGCTGTCTTCTCTTTTTAAGATAAGTGATTTATTCTCTGTGTCCTTACAGTTCTGTCATAAACTTACTGAGGGGTCTCAGCAGAATTGGGCAAGTGATGTGGTTTTATTGCCAGCAAGCCGAGCTGCCTCAGTCCCCTGCTGGCTGGGCAGCAACCTGGTTTACTTTTAAATTTTCTGTCTGAAGAAATCCAGTAAATCTTGATGTGGCTAAGTTGCTGGCACTGCTGCCAGCATGGGAACCGCAGTAGGGCTTGGGATGACTCTCACATAGCACATTTCTTTTTGGGTCTTAATGGCAATGGGTTCCCACTGGAGGAATGTTTTTTTCATTCCTGACTCTTTCAGTCTGCCTGTGTGTTCACAGCAGTTGTCCCTCCCTAAACATTTATTTTATGCTAATTGTTGCAGTGATGTAACACTTACTTATTTATATGAACTTTTAAAAAAAAAGTTCTGCTGTAAACCCAAAGTAGCCTGTATTTATTGTGGCATTGTCTGTTTAACTTTTTGCATGGGAAAGACTAACCTTCACACTTGCTGGGTCTCATGCTCCATGCCCCTTGGTCAGCCCGGCACAGTGGTAAAGTTGCAGCCTCCCTCCCTTGAGCTGCATGCTGATCACGGCTGATCAGCCTGAGCAGTGATTCACGGACCAGCTGCCACAGGCCTTACCACAGCCAGCGGGAGGCCGCAGTACAGTCACAAAGCCAAGAAGCTGCTTCCTTAGCTGCACTCCCTGCTCCTTCCTCTCTCAGCGTGTGGCTCTTTCCCCATGCCAGTGACCAGGGTTACGGGCCAGGGACGCATCTCCTTACCTGACACCACATTACGTGGAGGGGGAGTTGCAGCAAGAGAAAGGGGATGTGAGTAGTGTTGAAACCTAGTGAAAGTTGATGGCGCCGATTTGCGCTGCCCTTGCCAGATCCAGGAGTGCACGTCCTGTGTTAAGAGCAAAATATACTGCCCATGCAGTGGGATGCTGACAGGGCCCTTGCTGTGCAGAAAGAGACACACTGTCTGCGGGTCTTTCTCACACTTGGGGAAGGCTGAAGAAGGGCAAGTTTTAGGTACTGATGCTATGTAAGTGAAAGCAAGTGTCTCTCCTCATTCACAACTGTGAAATTTTGAGGCAGCTGTGGAAATTCCAGACAGCGAAGGCAGGTTGCCTTCCTTCCCACTCTCTTCCTGCCACGTATTTTCACACCCTCCTACTTTGCCAAATCAGGATTGGAGCCCTGATCCCCCCTCCTCACCCTGTGCTGGAAACGCCACCGCACTGCCAAAGAGCTTTCTCTTTGCCCTTCACACTTCCATCTCCAGCCCTGCCCTCCCTTCCCGAATAGGGAGTTTTTCAGCACAAGGTTATTTCATACAAAAATGAATCATAATGCCTGTATAGGAGTTGCAACCAGCACCTTCAGCGGAGCAAATTACGCGGTATCTCTTGCTCTTTCCTCCTTTGTAGGTGCTGTGTGATAAAAACCTTCCGAAGTGGTTAGTGGCAGCAGTAATACGCAGTCGTTCGTTCCTGCGGTGGCCGGGCAGCAGCTCACAGTTCCCGCTCCTGCTTACTGTAGACCCTAACCTCCCGCTGCCCTGAGCGAGCTCCTTCCGTGGGACTGTCGGTAGAAAAACCTGAACAGCTGGAAAAAGGAACCTATACAGATCATGTGTCTAAATGAAAAAAAGAAAGAGAAAGAAAAAAAAAAAGTCACTCTCAACCTCATTAGGGACCATCCTCCAGTGGCTGCCTCAGGTGCCAGGGCCTTGTGGGTGCCCCAGCCCCACGCCGCCTCCCCAGGGAGGCAGGGACCCGGGGCACCCTGCCCGCGGCCCAGGGACCCCTCCTCACTGTACTGGAGTCGGGCCTCTCTTCTTCACTCTTCAGCAGTCCCGTGAACCTCTCGTGCATGTTGGTTAGTGGCCTGGCTGTGGAGGAAGATGGGAAAGTGCCTCCCTGTGTCAGCCCACCCTGCGGGGTGAAGTGCCCACTCACGAAAGAGGTTTGTGCCATACGTTGAGCTGTGAGTCAGGCACCTCAACTCAAGAAAGAGGTGGGAGGCCAGACCGTCTGCTCCGTCCTGCTGCCTCACTGGCACTAACTGCCTGCCCGGCGCGGGAAGCGTCCAGCTGCCCTGCGAAGACTTGCAGGCTCCCCATACCGGCAGCGGAGAGAGGAAGGCAACTGACTTGCAGCATCTGTCTTACTTCAAGGAGCCATTTCGGCATGGTGGTTCGTGAGCCCTCCCTTGCTGCGCGGTGCGCCTCCTTCGCGGGCTGGGCTCTGGCACTCCTTTAGTGCCCGGTGAGACAACTGAGCCCACCCAACTGTTGGAAAACTACTCAAATTTTTGAGCTGTACGAGCCTTCTGCCAGCTCAGTGAGCTGAACTGCCTCCCAAAAGGCAGCAGTGAGCTCTGGCCAAGGGCAAGGCGAGCGCCGGGAGCCTTGGCTAGTGGCCCGGCATTGGCCTTTCGCAGCCCGGAGCGCTCACAGTGGCTCCACGGTCCTCTGAAACCTCATCCTGGAGCTTCATCGTTCCCGTCCCCGTGGCAGCTGCACTGCAGCTGGGGCAGGAAGCACGGCGTCGTACTTACAGAGGCGAGCACCAGCTGTTGTTGACCGGTCAGCGTGCGTTTATTTGAAGATACAGCCATGCTGGGAATCACTGCTTCCTGTGCAGAGGGACCTGGCAGCAGAGTTCAGGAAACCTGTGACAAAACAAGTGAGAAAACAAGACTTACTCAAGCGCAGAATGTGTCAGGAAAGTCCTTGAACCTTTGTGTGCCGTCCTAATTTCCCAGTTTCTGTCACTGAACACACCAGTCATGAGCTAAGGCTATTACGACGGAGTGCAGCCAGCCACTGTGGTATCCAGGGAGTTTCCCACAGGGAAGTGTCCCTCCTGCAGAGTACTGGAAATTTGGCACGTACAGTCAGCTTGCTGCTTTCCCACAAATGCTCAGGCTCCCTAGGAAGTCTGCAAGTTTTGCTCCTAATTCCAAGTGGGCAGAGTGTGGTTAACGTTTGGCCTTTCCCTGAGCGAAGAGGAGATAGTCAGTCGTCTTATTTATTTTTCAAACGTAGAAGACAGATTTGGCGGCACAACAACAGCTTAAATGGGATTGTATTACTTATTTACCCATTCAGAGAACGCTTGCTGCCCCCTTGCTATCACAGCAGCTTGTGGTGAGGGCACCACGCACTTAACTAAATAAGCAAAAGCTTCAGAACATGAATGCTAGCCTTTAAAGTAGCTTAGCAGTTGGAGCAATGAAGGAAGAGCATACGTTCTTTAATAATACAGTGTTCAAACTGCATGTGGTAACTACCACTTTCCACCTGCCAATTGGCTGCCTTTCATTCATTATACGCCAATACAAGTACACCTGAAGATACAGAGACCTTGAGCACCTGTATGAGTTATATTCAATCATTATTTCCACCTGGGAGACTAAGTGTGTATAACTGCCATGTCAGTTTACATCTCCTCTATATATAAGTTAGTTAAATCCTTCTGGGGGCAGAGTCCTGCCAGAAGCAGCTTGCTAGGCCTAGTGAAAGCTGCCTGAAGTACAAAAGGAGGAGCAACTCGGGGTGCGTTAGCAGTTTGGACTGTATTTCTCAAGTCTCAGTGATAAAATGAAATAGTGATTCCAGTGAAGACATAAGTGAATTGGAAATTCTCATTATTAATTCATAATTGCTACTTGTATATGGCCAGCACGCTCTCTAGGCCACAAATAGGGGTGAGTGTGTACAGGAGACGCATCCATGTACAAAAGAACATATGGAAGAGGGCAATGAAGAAAGAAGCATATGCAGGCAAAGGAAAGAGCGGACTAGATGAATTTTTTCACTGAGAATTGCTATCATATAAGGCGAGGTAGAGGGTTAATTATAGTCTGGTCATCAGATTGTTCATTAAACAAAGAGAAAGCAAACTCCTTAAAAAAAAAACCACACACACACACAAAACTTGAAGGGTCTTACCTACCCTAATCTTCTACCATAGCCTACAGCAGCTTTGCAGTAGCTATAAATTGTAGCAATATTCAGGGAGTCAGTTTGAAGTATCTGTCATTAGGCTTCAGAGCTAACTCCTACTTAATGCTAGTTCATAATTCTTGTGGAGCAATTATTATAGACCATATAGTAACAACCTTTGTTACACTGGAAAATAGATTGGAGTCACAGAGTTGATCTTTCTGTCTTGAAATTTATGAAGACAGCTGCATTGGCTCACATCCAGAAATTTTCCTCAGTTGCTATCATCGCTGAAAATTACTGTTCCCCCCCCCCTTTTTTTTTTTTTTTTTAAATCATGAAAGCGTGAGTTCTGTGAGAATTGCTAAGGCTCCTGGAAGACCAGAGAGGCCAGGTTTGAGATCTGCCCAGTTTTAAAGTTTGTAGCTGCAGCGGAAGCAGCGGGAAGGCAACAGAATGGAATCTGTGTATGTTAAAGGTCAGTGAGAAACCACAAAATCTGGGCCATGTATCACCTCCCCTTCAGGACTCTTAGAGTGATTTATAACCATTATTGGTAAAAACCAGCCCTTTTTTTCAGTGTGGGTTTTTAATCCACTCCACACTAAACAGCTATTGACTAATATATATTAGTAGTTCTTGGAGTAGAAACAAGAAGTCCCCCCTTCTCTCCTGCATATCTGTGAGGGGCTGGCTCTCTTTTAAAAATTGCTAAACGCTTTGGGCTCACCTCAGCCCGATGATTTATTGTTTATTTGCGGTATGATTGCATATAAGAGATCGGAGGATGCGGGAGGCCCAGCTCCCGGTGCCTACTGCCACCTGCAGCCCGCGGGTGCTGCTGCCATCGCTGCCACGGGGCGGCTGTCCCCCGCGGCCTTGCCCTGCTGAGCGCCTGTGCCTGCACTGGGCCGTCCTGACTGTTTGCGTGACGGGGAGCACGTGCAGCTGTAATCCCAGTTAGACACGTGGTTGTCCTGGACAGACCTGAGCTAAAAGTGTCAGCCGCCATCTGATCATTCCCCTGTCAGAGGAAGGCTGTGCCCTAGTCTATAAAGTTTGACTTACTTGAAATACTTTGAAATAAAAGTAAATACTAAAGTAAATGAGACCTGGCAGCATTTGCTACAAGCGAATAAGACGCCCACGCTATGCAGCCAAACGAACAAAACAAGCGCAGCTTCAAACACTCACTTCGTTAACTTTCCCCAATGCTTAACCTAATCCGCAGCTGCTTGGGTCTTCCCTCCTGTCTACAGAAACACTCACTGCCAGCTCTGTGGCTCGCAGCACACGGTGGAAACTGGTTAAGATCCACTTGCCCCAGGTTTGCTTTTCCCTGCTTTAGTGGCCTTGTTAGTGTGGGCAGCTGGCAAGAGCCAGCTGGGGCAGCAGCCGCCCTCTGCCCATGTGGCC